CTAAAGTAAGAAGCATTTTTTTTTCTATCTTGCTTACACTCCCTAAAAAAGCATCTTGAAAAAAAAAATAGTGAAGCCAAAAAATTCAGGTAAGTCTCTTTCTTTGTTCCGAGCATTGTCAAACTGAAATTAACATTAAATGCTGAATGTTGTTTTTTTTTCTTCGAAAATTACGCGTAGCTATATAAAAAGTAAACAAAGAAGATTTTGTTATTTTATTTATAAAATAAGTGCGGTTTATAAATAAAAAATTATAGAATATTTAATAATAAGTGTTGAAAAAAAATTTTATAAAAACTTATAAAAGTATAACAAGTGAAAAAAACTGTTGAAAAAGATAAAGGTGTATATTTCTAAATTGTTATTCCCATTTGTAAAAACAATTAGTTGTATTACAGCATATACTAGTGAATATTATTCCTTTAAATAATTAAGAGAAATATTATTCAATAGTACTTCGATTAATTCATAATATGTAATTTTATTAAGTTTTTTTAATTTTGCAAAGAAAACATCTGTTTTTGTTTTGCTTTAAATTAAAATTACTTTGATTGACATAATTTTACCAGGACCGGGTTTTTTTAAATAAGTTTGTGTTTGATAAAATGTAGCATACAAACAAATATTTTAAATTGATCTTATTTTTTGTATAGTTACACTTTTCCAAAATGTGATTATAAAATATTGTGGCATTCAAATACTTATAAATATTTGTAATTTATAACACAAATTTATTCAAAGTGAAAAAAACGAATTTTGTTTAATATTGTTCTATTCTTTAGTTTTTACTTTTACATATTCTACATATTAAATATATTTTATAGTGGAGGCCAGACAAGAAAATAAAATAAATACGATCCTGTTACGAATTTGCTCGGATCAAAGAAAGAGACAACTAGAAAAAATTTGGCTTCATTGTTTATTCAATATGCACCTTCCTTTAGTATGTCTAATTCGTTGAAAACTACTCATATTTTGTTACTCTACACTACTTTTTCATTCGTATTTATTATACCAATGCACTACATATTTTTTGAATGATATGAATCATCAGAATTACAATTATTAATTAATATTACTTTTATAAGTACACAATAGAATAAATTCGCATATGACTATACACACAGAATATTATTTCATACATTTGTATACATTCAATCGTACATATACATAAGTGAAATGGTCTCATATAATATACATGCACATAAGCAAAATACGTCAAAAATAAAAATGTTCAAAAATACACATGTATAAGATTAACACTCATGCGTACACAAATAATTATCTCATAAAGCAAATATAGTTTTGAGATATTGAAATGTGTATACCAATAACCGACCGTATTTTGTATATCAGAGATCCCTAAACTTTTTTCTATCGTAGACCCGTTATCGCGTTTTTCAGTTGTTGATAGACCCCCTGCTACTTTCTTTGATGTGAGAAAGTTAAATAAAAAACTTATTAAACTAAATTCATATTTTTTCGTAAACCCCTATCCGGCCTTTATGGACCCCTGGAGGTCTATATAGACCACTTTGGCAATCACGAGTGTATACAGTGGTAGGTTATGTGACGGCAACAAATTTTGCATATCGAGTTTTCGGTGGGAATGCACTTCTCCATGGTAGGGAAGTGCACATAAACTATTTTTAGCAACCTGTCGGTCTGTCAGTCTGTCGGTGTTTCGGTCTGTCGTTCTGCGTGTGCACGCGTGTATCTGAAGTTCGGCTAAACCGATTTTGATGAAATTTTATATGTAAGTTTATTTCGACCATGGCACGGATTGATCAATTTGGGATATATCGGGCCTCGGGAATTGCACTTTTTAACGTTTTACATTTTTGACAATTTTGAAGAAAATATTCAACCGATTTGCTTGAAATTTCAGATATACATTTCGCTCGACCGTCAGCGAAACCTCCTAACTTTTGGAAGAAATCAGGTGTCAGCAACTGAATGTTTATTACGAGCCAAATATACATTTTTGCGTGTGTAAAGAGAAATAATCAACCGATTTCATTGAAATTTAATTCTTAAATTTTTCGTACTAAAACAATGAACATATAAATTTTTTGGAATGATCAGGGTTCAAAAACTGATCTGCGAATTGATGGAATTTCTTGAAATTTGATATTTGAGTTTTGGTTGTTATCAAAATTAACTGGCGAGAATTTCAGGGAATTCGGGTAACAAAAAGCCAAAGTCTACTATTAGCTAAATTTACATTTTCCTAGGTATGTTAACTATAAGCTTACTAATGTCCTGAAAATTGGAAAGAAGTATTTAACAGACATTTTTTTAATATTTCAGACAATACACATTGCGGTCGGTTATGTGTTGGCCATATCAGATTTTTTAATATATTAAAAAATATATTTGTATAATAACAAAATTTGTTTAATAACAAAAAAATTTTAATGAATTTCAAAATTAAATGATTGTTATGAATTTCTACCACTATGTTTTGCTTTCGTTTCTTGTAAAGAATGTTATCAATATTACAGAATTAGTATAAATTGTTAATATTTACCATTTACATTAAGAATATTAAGAATTTTATGTTGAATTTATGTCAGGTTCAAAAAATAAGAGTAAAATGAAATAGTGCATTTTGAATAGTCCGATTAAAAAAATTAAACAGTAAGTTAAAACAGTCTGACTTTCTGAAATTTCAAAACCACAATTTATCATAACCTCATGTAGGTATGCAAGTCTATAAATACCAGTCAAGGCATTTACTTTAATAAAATCGTAAATATAATGAAAAATATAAAAGTTTACACACAAAAAGCCACAAATTTTAGACTGAAACTTAAATTTTTCTTAGATTCTTAAATGCAAATCGCAACTTTTTTTATACACTGTTTCATTTCTCAGACGATTTATGAAATAAAATGCAATTCATTTGTAAATTTAAAATTACAAATAAAAGTTTGCAATGATTGAGTTTGTTATTAAAATTATAAAATTTCGCAATGTACAATCATTATATGAGGGTCTCAAAAGCAGTCACAAATAGAAAAACATTTTTTTTTGCTGCAATTGGTTATGTACAGCTTCTAGAATCAGTGATATTACTTTCCAGTTTCGAAATAGTTTTTTTCCTATTTATTTTTAACAAAAGTATTTTTGCTTTTGTAAAAATTTTTTGATTTTTCAAAAGCAAAGTGCTTACGCCACTCTGCTTTTATATATATAACTACTTCTCAGGTGTCAAAAAATACGGCTACTTCTATGCGGTAGACATGGGTTAAAAGGCATTTGATAGGATTTTGCTTCTAGGGTCCCAGAAAAAGCAAGAATTCCACCCACCCTTTCCTTCACCCCCTCCCAAAATGCTTTGTGACCGCTTTTTACAAAATACTACATACTACATTTTCTTAAAAAAATTGTAAAGAATTAGAATCTACAATTAAATTTTACAATTGGTGTGTACGTACGTATTAGTTATGTATTCTTTTCGATATCTCCTGCAAAATGTATTAGTAAACAAAGCATAAGTGTACATTAAATTTCTTGACAATATATTTTTAGGACAAAATTTTATAAAAAAATTTTATTCTATTGCATTAAACTTTTTACAAATAGGGTATTTTCAAAAAAATATTTAGGACGGAAACTCACTGATAATGATTTGTAAGGGTAAAAATTTTTTAATTTCCTTTTAAATAACAACAAAAAGCATCTGATGTGGTCAGCACATCATACCCTATTATGGAGAAGGGCGTTCCCACCGAAAACTCCATACCCAAAATTTCTTGCTATCACATAACCTCCCTTATTGTATGCAATGCGGTCTGGTATAACCTTATTAATGCCCTAAAAATTGGAAAAAAAAATTTAACAGGCATTTTTATAATATTCTGTAACACTTTGACGTACCTAGACAACACACATTGCGGTCGGTTATGTGGTGATCACATGATGGTGATTTTTTCAAAACCTTCTACAATTTAGTTTCATTTACGCTAAGTTTCATTTTCAAAAACAAAATGTTTGCTCTTAAATTATCGAAATAAATCTGATCATAACTACATAAAATATACGAGTAATTTATTAAATTATATATTCAGATGATAAGATTAAAAAAAAATGATTTATCATGCACAATGTGCAATGCTTATAACAATTTGTTTATAGTATAGAAAGAGGTGGAACGATGGAAAGGGGGAAAGGGGCTTACTTTTTAAAACCCGGTTAGGGCGACGAATAAATCACAATCCCGTCTGATTAGGAGACAACTCATTATCGGGAGAGACAAGAGACTTTATTGAGATTACACGGGAGTTTTTATTTTAACAGTTCAGTTTTAGTAGTTCTTTCGCAGTGCAGTTTTAAAGATAGGCTACAAAAAATTATTATTGTTTTATTTCGCTTACTTCCATTATACATACATATATCAATATATCGGCATATGCATATATGTATTGAAAACTGCACTGTATTTATATATATAAACAAACGTTGCTAAACTAGTTTGTTTATAAATATTCCTAAACTATCAACAATATACTGAAATTGTTATGAGTAAAGAGTTTATAACATATTAAGTAATTGTTTTGCTTTTGCAGATTTAAAATTTAATGTTAACATCTTGTTAAGATCTAGCGGGTTTTTGTCAAAAAATACTACAAATATATTAGGCCTTTTCATAAATGCAGGACATCGCGATATATAGTGCAAAGTGCGATGTATTTACGAGTATGTTCAAACCAAATAATGCTAATCTAGTTTTGATTTTATAGAAACATTAAAAATATATTATTGCATATTCGTCACGTTATATCTTGGCAGCCGTTCTACACAAAAGTCGCTCGTAATTTGGAATTTATACCCTTATAATTTTAAAAATTTTTAAAGACAAATTGGGAACTACAATTCTAATTTAATTCTTATAAGGATTTTTTCAAATTTTAAAATTAGTATTATAACTGGTCTATTAATTCTCGTAACTTTAACAAAAATTCCCTTTATAATTAATAACAATACTATTTTTGCAGGTTCGATTTTAGAAATTAACAGCCATCGTTTTCGAATCACGGGAGCAGATTTATTTGTATACAGGTATATGCAAAACTATCCCGAACTTTTTACGGATGAAATGGTACGAATGGTTCAAGAACATCTATTAGCTTCTCCAGAATTAAATGACAAAATTAAGGTAAATAAAAAAATATTTTTCAACTTTAAAAAGAAATTTAAAAAATACATATGCACAAATGCGTGTAAGATTAAAATGCATAAAAATATTAAAAATACGAAAAGAAAGCTTAAAGTTCGTTTCTCTCATTTTCGACAAATCCAATATCACTTTTGTGATTCAATATCATTTATGCCAAAAATCACATCAATGCCAAAAGTATTAATATGATATCGTGTTATGTGCAACCTTATAAAATGAAAACAAGTTTACTAAAACTAAATTGAGTTGCACATTTTTGTGGACTCTAGCAGATTCTTACTATAAAATTTATGTTAATATGTATAAAAAAAATTCAAATACAATTTAGTTAAGTTTTTATTTCTATGACGTCAGCATTGTCTTAGACTTTTAGAATACACCGTGCCAGCCATATACATAGCTACATATGTATATGTATGTGTATATATTAACATCATGGCCGACAGAAATACAGACCCTAATTGTAAAAGCAGAACCAAAGCAACCGTTTCAGAGCGGAATGGCAAAATCAATTATTCAATATGTTTCAAATAAAACCACACCACATGAAGTAGATGATGTCAAAAAACCCCCAGCAATAAAATAGAATTCAGGCTATTTGACATTTCGTCGCAGAAATTCGCTCTTGTTCTGTTTTCAACTTTGACAGAAGGTGATAGTTCACAGTTGAAGAGTGTAGTTGTGTTCTTATGGAAAGAGGGGTCTTTTTAACACCACAAGTCTTTCACCTCGTATATTTTTCATTTATTGTTTGTGAAGTATTGAGTTATATATATTTTTTTTTATATTTGAAAAAGTACAAATAGGTTAACTTATACGCATACTTGAATGTAAATACAATTTATATATTTATAAATATATGGTTAAATATTAATAATATTACAAAAAAATTGTCCGGGGGGGGGGGGGGGGGGATGTGCAGATATACTCGTTTTCGTGCTACAGCCTGTTGAAAAAAAGGTACCTGACTTTTCCTATATATAAATAATTATTTTTTTACATTTTTACAATTAATTTGATTTGAGCAATAGTTTTCGAATTACAGCTCGTCAAAGTCAGAATTTTTGTTTTTTATTTTTTTTTACAAAACTCGAAATTTCGCGAAAATCCCCACCAATACAATTTTTTGCTGGAAATTGATCAAAGAATCATCACTGAAATGATTTGCCATCTTAAGCGTAACGTCCTGTATTTATTTGCATTTACAATATAAATACAAAATATAATATTGAAATAATTTATATTATTCAACCACATTTATATTACATTTATTTTCATGTTAAAAGTTCATATAATTCTTTTTAGGAATGTTTGTGAATTTAACATTAAGAAATATAAATGTTCACATAGACTTATAAAGAAGTTAAATAAGAATATATATATTCTTATTTAATACAATATTTATTTATAACGATTTCTAAAATATCATACAATTAAGACATTTTTATTTAGTACAGTTTAACAAGTTGTAATGCACATACAATAGTATTTACATTATATTTAAATCGCGTCTCGTCATTGTTTATATCAGATAATTTCTTACATAAAACGTTTTGTAATTGTTTAGATTTAGATCGTATTCTATTCTTGTTATTAAGGATAAATTTTTTTATTAAGGATAAAAAAAATTACGATAAATAAATACTATAAAAATACTATAAATATATGTAAGTAATTTAGTAAAAACATATTTTTAACTGCGTATGGTAATTATAAAATGTAATGTAAATTGGGCGTAAACAGTTAGGCAATAAACATGAAAGACCGACAAAGGACTAAATGCAGTTACAACTAAATGCAGTTACATCTTATATCTTAGTTTCCCTGTTTCTTTATCTCTTTTGACAAGGACAATAAATTTAGTGACGTAATAGTAATTAACGGGTACAAACTACGTAATATAATTAAGTTATAACTTCTTAGTGCCACAAAGTATCAGAACTATTGAAGAAAAGCTGATGAAATTAGAAGAAATATGACAAGAGTTTGAAGAAAGTGACAACATCATAAGACTGTACGGTGGTGGAAGACATCATATATATTTTACGGAAAATTTGTAAACACAAATCTCCAAGAAAAATTGAGTTTTAAGAAAACCTGCAGATGGCAATTAAAATGAATTAAAATTGAAGTAGTTAAGGAAATCAAAGCAGATGTAACACAGAGAAACGAAGATAAGTTACTATCTGAACTTACTGCAAGAAATGACTTGATAAAGTTATTCAGCTTATAAAATAAAGTTGGGTCAAAGCAATGATTTGTATATTAGCACTTTCTTTGTTGTGTTTGTGTTTTCCCTTTAAAAGCATTTTTAAACTTAGAAAAAATATTGAAACTTAAAAACAAAATATCGAGAATTTCTTTAAGAATATTTAACATTAAATCATATGAAAGAGACAGCAGTAGAAGAAATTCCACAAACCAATTTGTTTTTATCCTACCACTACGTGCTAAAACCTGAAAGTCCAATTTCATTTGAAGACCACATCCAACCTGTCATTGAATGATATCATGATGAAAGAAGCAAAACTGCAAAATGACATGTTTCACGTTCTCCTCAGATTCAGAAGCAAACACGTCTTTACAGCCGACTAAAAAAAGGACAGAGAAATACATGTAGCCGTGTATGAATCATTGCAATTGATAATGTGTAGAAACAGTCCTGCAGAAAGGCTTAGGTATTTGAAACTTACCACTGTAACATATTACACAGAAGCAGGAACATTTTTAGCAGTTCGATGTTTACAACAAATGGCAGCAGATTAACAAGATAAATATGCATTGGGTTGCCAGGCGATAAAAGATATTTATGTTGATAAAGAACAGCTTGGATTGGGATTATGAAATAAATCTAATAAGCAAACAGAATAAATGAACTATCGCCAAGAGTAAGCTTTACCATACAATTTAAAAATAAGCTAATACCTATTTATTACTGAGTATTAGAGCAGAATTACATGCATTTTCTGATGCTAGTAAAAAGGCATATGCCATTAGTTACGATCAAAAATAAAAAAATAGAATTACATAGGGTCAAAACAAAATCCTGCAAACATGGTGTCTATACAATCAGAAATTTAGTTTTGGAGAACTCAATTTTTTAGAACGACAGAAGAAAATTGGCCAAACAGAATCATTACAAAAAGAATAACTCAAGAGGAAGAAAATAGATGTGTATTGATAAACAAAGAAAATGTTAATTTAGAACGACCGCTAAAAAATTGAAAAAACAAAACAGTACATCGGTTCAAAATTAAAAAGGAATCAATCACGTATCCAGCACTTGCATGCAGCTCTATTAGAATTATTAGGTATATCGCGACAATTTTAGATAATAAAAGAAAGAGAATTGAGACGTACAGTGGTTAGCAGTTGTGTGAAATGCAATAAACACCAACCAAATTTTTTCAATAATTGATGACTAATTCTCGAAACATCGGTCTTGCCTACTCGTTCATTTGCAAATGCAGGAGTAGATTTCGGTTGTCATATGTGGACTCCTATCTTTTACGTGGAAGAAGACCAACCAAGAATCACGTTGCAGTATTCTGTTGTTTCACCACGAAAACAATTGAAATGGAGGTGGTTTCTGATTTGACAACAGCGTTGAAGAAATCTGTATTATGCCAACGCGACAAAGTTTGTTGGTACAAAATTGGAAGAACCCTAAACAACATTATCTTCAAGAATTGAACAGGCAAAAATTGTGAATCAATAAATGTGAGTATGTGTAGCATAAATGGAATACAGGTTGATTTCATTCCGCTGGGAGCACCGAACTTTGGAGGACTATGGGAAGCAGCCGTAAAATATGCCAAAAAGCAAAGGTACTAACATCCGTATTAGAATCGGCTTCACTTACGCTTGAAGAATTAAGTACAGCCACAGCAGAAGCAATTTTAAATTCTACAAAATTAACTCAAATGCCGTCAAATTTCAAATGATTATGAAGCTACCATTTCGCCACATTTCCTGGCAAGAGAGTCCCTATTAAAAATCCCTAATTAAGAATCAACTGTAGAAAAGATATGTTCGTTATCGCGGTGGAAACTTGATTATACTCCGTAGAGGCTCTTGGGTATTAATACCGTTGGCAGAAATTGCAAACATTGAGCCAAGGACATTAGTATTAATGAAAAAAGACAATTCTTCATCTTTTAAGTGACCAATGGAGCGCACTGAAATAATAATTCGTGAAACAGATGATCTGGTAAGAGTGGCAGTGGTTAAAACTACACATGGAACTTTTAAGTAAACCGATACATCAATTGACACCAGTACATAATGATATAGAATAAAAATTAAAGTAGAACAACAAAAGACAAGGAAAGAACAGAAGATAAAAATTTAGCAAAAAGAAAAATCCAAGAGCCCAAAGAAAAAGAAAAAATATGATATTAACGGTTTTATTATTACCTTTAATAGCGTTCGGTTCGTCAGTTCTACATAAGAATACCTAATATGATCGCAATGGATTTTATTTTGAGAAACTGTGTACTGAACGACTCACCGGAACTAAATGGAAGTGAACAGTGTATTATTACAATATGACGAGTTTTTGGAATAACAATGCAGCAACCATACAAGGTGTTACCAATAATAGATCAAATGTCAGCATTAATATACAAAATAAGTAACAAAAGGTACCCAGAGTAATCTTGCAAAGCTATAAACATGAAAAAGAAAAACAATACAGCCATAAAATCCAAAATTACAAAGACAATGCTTGTATTCATGTTATACATTCCGTTGATGAAATCATGAGAATTTGAAGTATACAAAATTATTCCTTTTGTTTAACTGGTTAATAGCATTTTATTCATCATTGAATCTAGTAACGAACTTTTCTGGGCTAATTTTCGTAAAGATACAGCGTACAACGTACGATTTGGAACGAAGAAACTGCATTTCTGTTAGTTTTGAAAATTTCTTATGTGAATAATACGCCCATTGTATACTAAAGAAACAAAAAAGGTGAA